GCTTGGTAGAAACTATGGCTCTGGTTTCTCCACTACATCGGCTCTTGGGGCACATATGGGAGCTGAGGCTACTGCTGGGAGGGACCTGGCTTGGAGGGCGGCTGGTGGTTTGCTCAGAAGTGCCCGTTCACTCCCTTCCGTTCACTGCCGACGGGAGGACCAGGCAGCCATGGGCAGCCCCAGGCCAAGCCTCTTCCCCCGGGGCCTCCCTCTGGAGCCAGCAGGCTGAGAAGGGCCCCCCTCCCCTGGCTCTGCCTGCTCGGACCTGGGAGTCTGGCAAGGCGGTGCCAGGGACACGAGGCTTCCCTGGTCCTCTCTCTCTTTGGCTACGGGCCCCAGGCCCCTCCTCCACCTCCTTTGTGGCCGGCACACTCTCTTCCCTGCCCAGCTACCCCACACCTACCCTTCTGGCCACCTGGTGCTTCCAGGAGTAGGCCACGCTCTTCTCTGCCTCCGAGTGGGGCCTGCTGTAGCTTGTACTGGGAACGCATTTCCCTGACCCATCTTGAGTTGTCTTCTCTTTTTCTAATTTAACTTGCCATTTGCATTTTCTTTAAAAGCATTTTTTAAAGTATTTTATCTAAAGTATTTTATTTATTTATTTTTAGAGAGAGGGGAAGGGAAGGAGAAAGAGTGGAAGAGAAACGTCAGTGTGTGGTTGCCTCTCATGTGCCCTGACTGGGAATCGAACCAGCGACCCTTTGCTTCACAGGCCCGTGCTCAATTCACTGAGCTACACCAGCCAGGGCTCCTTTAAAAGCATTTTTAAAAATTTACTAGCACCAGAAACAAATATGATGCCATGGGTTTTTTTTTTTTTTTTTTTACTTAGAAAAATATTAACGAAACATTGTGAGTAAAGACCTCTGGTCCCCCCGGCCCCACTGGAGCGCTCCTCCCCAGGCCTGTCAGCCACACCGGCCCTGGAGTGAGGGGGGCCACACTGACATCTGTCCCCAAACACAGAGTGAGAGGGGGCAAGAAAGGGGCCTGAAGAGGAGGCAGAAGTGAGACCTGGGGGAAGGCCATGAGAAGGTGCAGGACAAGCCCCCCTCCGGAGGAGACCAGGCCGGAACGAGTGCTGTGGGTGTACAAGGTGGGGGGGTTGGGCTGTGAGGATGCGAGGAGAGGGTGGCCCAGCCCAGGGGGGTGCCGACTGATGCACCCCTTCTCGGGAGACTCCTCCCCGCGGGGAGCGCCCTACTGCCTGCGCATCTCTGCCCTTGACCCACGCAGACCTCAGAGAGGGTCCCGGCCAGGCCATGCCGCTGGGACCCTCCCCGCGGTGGGGCCTGCAGCCCCACTTGGGCCCCACGGCACCACAGACACCAGAGTCCCTGCCGCACACGTCAGGAGTGGAGGCCAATGGGGATGCACATGCCTCGGCCCACACAGGGCACCCGCAGTGGCCCGTCCGGGCCTCTGGTGGCCATGGGAGGGGGTGGGAGCAGGGTTCCCCGTCCCAGGCCCCATAGGCCTGTAGCTGGCCTTCCGAAGACCCCTGGGAATTCCAGCACAGTCACCGTGGTGCCAGCCCTGGCTCCTTCCCCGGCCGCCTGGTGCCTGACCCGCTCAGAAGGGCCTCACACTGAGACTGCCCTGTCTGGAGCCCGTGCCGGCCCAGCCGTCCTGGCATGGGGTCGGGGGGACAGGCCAGTCTCCTGAGGCCGCATGGCCAGAGCAGGTGATGGCAAGGCAGTCGCCAGGCCTGTCCTTACACGTGCTCAGTGGGGACAAGGAGGCACAGGGTTCCCACACTCTGAAGCCAGGCCACTGGAGATTGCGGCTCATGTTCGTCACCTGTGGCAGTGTGACTTCAGGCAAGTTGCTCAATGTCCCCGTGCCTCAGTTTCCACCCTGAAATGGGGGTGATGAAGGCCATGGCACTGGGGCTGCTGAGGGGTACTCAGTGTGTTGGGAGCAGCCCCTGGAGCAGAGCGTTAGAGCGCCCCCCAGAGGTCGGCCTTGGGTCGTCCCACTGGTCTCCCCTCAAGCCTGAGTCCCACTGCCCAGGTATGAGGGCACCCAGGCCTGGCTGCTGGAAGACAGCTGAGCAAGCGGCCCCAGCCCAGCAGCCAGGAGGCCTTGGGGACGGGCCATCTTGCCTGGCCACCTTGCCCAGACAGGTCTGAACTGTGGCCAGGACCCTGGACTTGTCAGCCCACGTCAGGCAGAGCCATTTCCTTTATTGGCACCTGTCACCAGCCTGCCCCTCCTTGGGGCCTTCCTGAGAGGCCGGGACCTCTGGCCCCTGTTTCTCTGGACAGGGTAAGGTAAGAGGGTGTATGGGTCGGGGCTGCTGGGAAGGCCGGTTCTCTGCTGCTCTGGAGTAGGAGGAAGGCGAGCCGCCTGGCAGGCCACACGGGCTTAGGGCCGCGGGGTGCTGGCCCGGTAGTGCTCCTCGCCCTCCTTCCTGCCGCCCAGCGTGCCCAGGCAGGCTGAGGCCACAGGTCCCTGCGCCAGGCACGTGGGGTGGGGCTGTGGCTCTGAGCCGACCAGCGAAGGTCCCGCTGTGAACAAGGCCACGAGATGCTATTGGGGATGCCAGACAGCCCGAACCTCTCACGGATGCTCTCCCTTCTCCCCCCCACCCTGGCCCCGGCAGCCGGTCAGTGCGGTGGCGCGGTGGTGTCCTGGGCACCAGCAGCCCTGAGCCTGCCCAGCCCTGGGATACTCTCCCTGGTGGAGAGAAGGCATGTCGATCTGCACGCTCACGGGCCAGCGTTTCCAGGACTTGCTTCGCACCATTCTCCATATGGCTGGGGCTGGAGTGAGGTTGCTAAGACAGTTCTGGCCCTGGGCAGTGCGGCTCAGCTGATTGGAGCATCGTCCCATAGGCCAAAGGGTCATGGGTTTGAGTCCCAGCAGGGCACATACGCAGATTGCAAGTTCCATTCCCCCGTCCAGGTGCCTGCAAAAAGGCAACTGATTGGTGTTTCTTTCACTCTCTTTCCCACCCCTCTTCCTCTCTCTCTAAAAAGCAGTGAAAAAATGTCCTCAAGTGGGGTTTTAAAAAACTAAAAAAGAACAATTGCGAAGCAGAGAATGCAGCGCTAACACAGAAATCCTAACACGCACCCTCCTCTCCCTGGCCTGTCCATCCAGCCTGCGGGGGAGCCTGGTGGGCAGGGTCCCCGCGTGGTGGCTGCCAGAGTGGGCTGGGGGCAGAGGGGGGAGCGGAGAGGCGGAGCCCAAACCTAGAAGCCTGGCTGGGGAGGGCGGAGCCTGAGAGCTGCAGGGCTGAGAGGTGCTGGACTCTTTTTAAACCTGGTTGTCTATAACATGCTGCGGAGCACCCCCAAACCTCCCAAAGAAAGGGCCCCCGACTGGGCGGCCTCGGTTGGTTCGGGGCTGGATGGGAAGTAGGCAGTGTTTTTCTATTTCAAGAAATTCACTATTGACAAATGTAGTGGCCGTATTTCCACTGCGACGAAGTGGGGGGCCCCATGGAACAAAGTGGGGGCCTCTGAAAATGCACGGTACCCCTGCTGCTGATGTGGCCCCACACCCACAGCCTCTGCATTAGGACAGTGGGTCCCCGGGAAGAGCTTAGGAGGAGGCAGTAAAGGAAAATGCTCCCCTGCCGTGGTCTGGTGTCCGGGGCCATCGGAAAACGTCTGGATGAAGAATGGTTTTGGCGCTTGGCTCAGTGCGAGCGTCTCAGCAGCCAGTGGAAACTTCCAGGAATGCACTGTCGGCCGGCCCGGGGCTGTTTCCGCTGCCGCTTTCACCAGATGCAGACCCCTTCACGGCCAGCAGCCAGCATAGCGGGGCGGGGGGGGGGGGGCTGGGACCATCTCAGCCCAGCTCTGCCCCTCAGAGCACAGTTCCTAGTCCACAGGCAGGGACTCCTCAGCCTGTGCTGTGGCCCCGCCAGCTCAGTCAGAGGGGCTGGCCACTGGGAGGAGCAGCCTCCACAAGTGGCTGGCCTCGTGTAGGACTAGCAGCCCCAGTGGAGACTCCCGCCCTAGGACTTCAGCGTTTCACTCGGTGTGTGAAAGGGAAGGTGCTTGTCCCCTGGACGGAGGCCAAGGGCCTCCAAGGAGCCCTCGGGGGAGGTGGCGAAACCTCCCAGGAAAGCCCCAGGCAAATGGGGAGAATTAGGAGATTGTTTCTCAGCTGACGCATGGGCGCTCGGCCAGCCCTTGGCAAGGGGAGCAAATGGTGAGCCCAGCCGTCCACCAGCAAGGGGCAGGGTGGGCGTGACAGGTGGGGCAAGCCCATGGGGAGAGGGCTTGGGGGCCTCGGACTAGCCCCTCTAGCAAAACCTCGGCCTCCGGAAGCCACGGGGATGACAGGTGTGGTCCCAGTGGCCAGCGCAGGTCGGCAGAGCAGCTGGGCCTGTGCTCAGTTCCCTCCCGGTCTCCAGGGGAGCTGTGAGCTCAGCGGCGCCCTTCCCGTCCCCAAGGGAGACACGGGCTCAGAGATGGGGAGCTGGGGCCTGACCCCAAGTGGCACGGTCCTGCGGGGGGTTCTCACTGGACTGGGAAGGGCAGAGGCCTCCTGGTGTGGAGGGGGAGGGTTGCGCCGTGGGCCCTGAGCACCCAGGTGGGGTGCCTTCCTCAGAGGGGGCGGTGCTCTCACCTTTGGAATGACCGTGGCTGGTGGTGTCTGGTTATTCATGGGCAGCCTGGCCCTGGGGTGGAGGTGGTTCTGCTCCAGAACTCCAGACCGCCAGGCCTGGGGACCCCGGCCTCGGCTGTGTTGGGGGTTACCAACCCAGAGCAGGGTTCTGGTACCTGCTGCCGCCTTTCTCTCACTGTGTCTTCCCCCTGCCTACAAACACCCGAGAACAACCACCAGTGTGGCGGGAGGGTGGGTGGATGTGAAGGCAGGAGCTGTCCCAAGAGCCACCAGAGGTGCGGGGCAGGCAGGACCCTGGGCAGGAAGAGCCAACAGCTGGCCTTGGGAGTGTGGGCAGAGCAGGACCGGCAGAGGGGATCCCCAGGGCGGCGTGCGGCCCCTGCACCTCCTGAGCCTGCGCACCTGCTGTTTTTCAGACGGTCTCCATCCTGGAGCAGCGGCTGACGCTGACAGAGGACAAGCTGAAGCAGTGCCTGGAGAACCAGCAGCTAATCATGCAGAGAGCAACACCGTGATCGGGGGAGCAGGAATCAGGAACTTGATTTGGGGGGGCGGGTAGGCGGGGGTTGGTACTGTGGCACTCGGGTGAATAAACGGAGGGGATTCCGCACTGTGGGAATGGTGTCCCTGTGGAGCCTGGGGGCCGTGCCATTCCGCCTGCCCTGTGGCCTGCACCCAGAGGCGCTCCGCCTGGCACAGGAGGCCCCATCGGCACGGCCACCCGTGCACAAAGCCACTTGAAAATGTTTGCCACCCAGAGTTCTAAGCAGCCCTGGGACTCCAGCTTCCCCAGGGGAGGGAGCCCCAAGCCGCCTTAATCCACTCGCCACTCAGCCGAGACCCGGGCTGCTCCTGGAAAGCCGACCCCCCACAGAGCCCCCGCGTGGGCCCGGGCCCTCGGGTTTACCCAGAAGCCCACACTCTGGCTTCGCAGCGGCTGTGACTTCCGCTCTACTCGGGACCTGCTGGCTTCCTCTGCGTGCACAGGGGGGAATGAGTCTCAACATTAAAACGCATTTTATGGAAGCTGTCATAAATGGCTCCTGAGTGCGGCCTAATCAGCCCCCTTCCCCAGGGCCCACAAAGCAAAAATGAAAATGGCCACTTGGGAGGCCCCTGCCGGGATCCCCTCTGAAGCCCAGAACACCTTTGTGGGTGTCGGGGCCGGGGACAGCCAGAGCCCCTGCATCCCTCCTCCTGCTCCTGGCTGGCCCCGGCCGGGCTCCCTCTGCTCCCACGTGGGAAGGCCAGGCAAATGTTTTCCACGTGTCTGGGTGTCCAAGCCTTCGGCATTTGGCCCTGGGCCCAGGCAGCCGGGAGGGTTCCGTTCCCCCACACACCTGCCGGGGCTGGGGCGCTTGGACTTCCCGGGAGCTGTCAGTGCCACTCCCTGATAAGTTTGTGGCCTCCGCGGCTCCCAGGTGGGAACAGGGCCGAACGCCTGTGCCAGGTCCTGGCGAGTGACCAGAAGATGCCCGCTGCCTCTCCCAGCTGGGTCGGGGGAAGGCCGCAGGCGGGGGTCAAGGGTCAGGCGCTGCCGTTGTCCCTCTGTGTGGTCTCCACTGGTGACGTGGCCTCCGGTTCTTGTGGTGACAGGTGGTGACAAGCCCCCTCCAGGTGATGACAAGCCAGGTGCTGTAGCAGGCCCTGTGCCGTCCACCACCTGTCCCGCTAGGACAGCAGGGCCTGCTGTGGGCAGGTGAGGATGAGGCTGCGGCCTCAGTCAGTTGCGGAGGCCCCAGGGCCCTGCTACAGTCCTTTATGTGGCCCTGCCGGTGTGCACATGAGCTGGTGGGCCTCTGTCTGAATTGGCAGATGAGGCCTTCAGGTGCCATGGCGGGTCATGGTCCCATGTCCCTGGGGGCTTTTAGGGAAAGAGTTCTGGCAGCCCCAAGTCTGCTCAGAGGGGACACAGCTTCAGGGGCCAGCCTTGGTGTCCCACCCCATGCTGGCTCTCCGGACTCCAGAACGCCCAGGCCAGCCTGTGGTGGTGCCGGGCCTGGGGCTGGGGCTCCCTGGAGTTGGGGCTCTGGTGATGGGAGCCGGCGGCCCAGGGAGAGCGCGTGGACTCCGGGAGGGGGCCGGGCGGTGGCAGTTGTGCCTGGAACCCCCTCCAGTCACCCCGTGTGAACTGTCCTGAGGGGCGCCCCCACCACACGCCAGCCACCTTGTCCTGTGGGCCCCCTTCCTGGAACTTGGCCCCTGTGCCAATGGGGATGGGGGCTGGTTCCGAGGGCTCCTTGGCTGTGAGATTTGAGGTGGCCAGTTATGTCCACTTGACCCCTTGGTCCCAGCCATGGGTGTCCTGAGGTGAGGAGGGGTTGAGCCTGAGGCAGGGGCTCAGGACAGCCCCCCACACCCGAAGGAGCAGGCCCACCTCTTCTCAGTGAGGCTGCCGCGGGCTTGGGGTAGGGGTGTGACTGCCCGGAATCCCGGAAACCCTGCCCCGTTGAGTCATCCCAGCCTGTCCTCCCGGCTCCCTGTCATCACCCTCCTGGTCCTACATGAGTGGCTTGGGACGGTCCCTAATGACTCCCGCCTTAATTGGCATGTGATCATTCAATGGGACAAAACCCCTGGGGTTCTTGCCGAGCACCCCTGCCCCCGCAAGGGGGAACCACCCCACCGGGGCGGCAGGGGCGGCTGGCGGTGTCTCGGGCATCATCCCACTTTCTGGGAGCATCGCAGCCCACCGCAGCCGACCGACCAGCAGAACCACAGAGAGCAAGGCCAGGGGCGCTCCCACTGTGCGAGGCTGCCTCTGGCTGGCCACCCACACCCCTTCCCGGGGCAAGGAACCCGGGCAGGACTGGACCTCGCAGCCTCCTGCGGCATCCTTCTCGGCCCTAAGCTTCTCTCAGGCACGAGTGTGTGTGCCCGGAAGGGGATCCGGCCACCACCTGTGGACACCTAGTGAGCAGAGCCCTGGCCTGCGGGCACTGGCCAGTGCTGTGTGCGTCTCAGGCCCTGTCCATCACCATCCTTCCCCAGCTGGGCACCTGCACTCAGCCTGTGGATGGAGACTGACCAGAGCCATGGACACCCCTGAGCACCTTGGCCCATATCAGCCTAGTTCCTGTTACTCTGGCTCAGGCCTGGCCGAGGGCACAGGCCCTCTGCTCAGCTGGCCTCTGGCCCTCTGGCCTCCCCTGGCCAGCCTCCACCCAGGGCCAGGACCTCACCTTGACCTGGCAGATCTCTCTAGAACACCAGGGACAAACACAAGGCCTGCAGGCCAAATCCAGCCCTCCACCTTGTTTTACCCAACCTGGCAGCAACACCGAACTCCTTGCCCCTAGTTAAGGTGTAGTTACATTTATACCGTCCTCCAATCACATTTGGTCCTTTGAAGGCAACCTCGAGGCTGATGTGGCCCCCGGTGAAAATGAGTTCAACACCCTTGTGGGAAGTTCTAGAGTCCAGAACTATCCAGCTTTCCCAGGAGCAGCTGCGGTGCCCCACCCCACCTCTGCCCTTAGCCCCTCAAACTCTGACCCTGGCCAGAGCCACTGCAAAGCCAGGCCCTGGTGCCCAGGGTCAGGGTGGAAGCACTTTGCATGCTCCCCAAGGCAGCATGTTTCCCACCCCCAGCCAGCTCGGCGCCCAGCCTCTCCCCACCATGACAGCCACTCCTGGGCTGCCCTGCAGGCGCCCCCAAACCCAGACAGAAGCAGCATCTCTGGCCCTCCAGGCCCCCCAGCGGCGGCCCGCTGCCGCTCACTGGGAACTGGGCAGGCACTTCCTGCCGAGGGCGTGGGCTGGCCTCTGGCCTCGCCCCTGTCCCCGCCCTGCAGGGGTGGCTTCTTGGCTGGAGCCGTGACACTGGCCTCTGCTCCCAGGGTTGCCCTGGCCCTGGGATGGGCTCCAACTCCCCAGTAGTTGGCGTGTGCTCTGAAATAGGGCCATTTGTGAGGCCACCCGTGCCCTTCGAGATGTCCTGAGCCCTCCTGCTGGGGACACATGCCTCTGGTTTGGAGACCTTCAACCCTGTGGGCCCCTCTGGTGAGGGAAGAGAGCCTCGGGCTGGGGCAGGCCAGGTGCGGGCCCTTCCAACACCCCCCGGGGGCTTGGGTCTGCCCCCACAGGGAGCCAGGGCTCCCCTGCAACTGGCCCCCGCTTGGCCCTGGGCCCGCCCCATCTGTTCTCCATTGCAGCCTGAGTCTGTAAGATTAAAACAAATGATAAAAAGAAAACTTGTAAGACAGCTTATACCATCCCTGCTCCGCACCTCCCCATGGCTCCCCAGCCCCCTCCCAGTACAGGCCACTGTGCCCACCAGGGGCTGCAGCGCCCACCACAGCTGTGGCGCCCTCTTCCTGGGTCCTGCCTGCCCCCACCCCCACCTCCTGTCACCTGCCACTCTCCCCTCATTCCTCTCCAGCCACATCAGCCACCTCACCAGGCAAATTCGGGCCCCAGGGCCTTTGCATCAGCCATTCCTGCTGACAGGGATGCTCTGACTTCCCCCTTTGTGCCTCAGCCTCCTGACCCATAACATGGAGTGAGCAGGAGTGGCCTCGTGGGGCTGTGGGGGAGACTCGATCAGACACATCACACACCGAACTGAAGGGTAGGCTTTGTCCCTGCTGTGTTCCAACGCATGACCTGGGAGGTGGGGCGCAGGGCTGGGCCCCCAGCACCAGAGCCCTGATGGCTCCAAGGCCCACTCCGGGCTCAGCGGGGGCTCCTGTGAGGGGCCCTCAGGCTCTGCTCCCCAACCAAGTGCCCTCCCACTTGGCAGCAGGGCTCCCCACACAGCCTTTCCCTAGTGGGGCTTCCAGCCGCCCGGCCGACCTCAGGGCCTGTGCACAGCCCCCACTGGACAGGGAGGGAGGGTGGGGAAGCCAACCGCACGCCAGGCCTCCCCGCCCACCTTCTAGCCGATGGGGGCAAAGGCGAGGGTGTGGGCTGGCGGGGTGAGTGTGCCCAGGGTCTCTGGGGGGGCGGGGAAGTGAGGCTGGACCTGAATAAGCATGTCACTGCTGGCTGGCTGTGGTGGGGCTTCCTCAGCCACGGCCCCTCCCACCGGCCTGGCTCCGTCCTGCCCAAATGGCTCAGAACCCCAGCAGAGTGGGGCCAAGGATTTGGGGCTTTTCTGTCTCAAGCAGAAGACTGGGCCTTCTAAGGGGTCTTTCCCACCACCACCAGCCGCCCCGCAGACCACTGGCCTGGGGTCTCCTGCGGGGGCCTGGGAGCCTGGAATCAACCTTGCAGGGGAGGGGTGGCGCCAGGACCTGGGGGGTAAGGTCTTCCCCAGCTCTTGCTTCTCCTGCCCTTTCCCCTCCCTTCCCTCCCCCGGCTTCCTCCAGAACACGTGTTTCTAATCCCCACTCAGGCCCCTCTTCCCTCCCCAGCTCGTTTCCTCTCCAAGCCGTTCATCCCTGCATGTGGAACTCATTAGGAGACCCTCAGGGCTTGTAACCCAACTCCAGCCTGGGCGTGGGGAGGGGCCCTCTCCACAGCCCCCATTTAGAGGGCGGTGCGGGGATGGGGGACACCCTGTGTGGCCCCTGTGTGGCCCCTGTGTGGCCCTGTGCAGCCGCATGCTGGAGAACGGGAGTCCAGCATGGCCAGAGCTGGCTGAGGCTGGCGGGGCGGCGGGCTCGGCTCCCTCCTCCCCAGCCTGCTCCCTGGCATCCACTCCGCCACAGAAGCCTCCCCGGGAGCCAGGCTGGGAGCCCTGCAGATCCCACAGAGCGGCACAGCAGACCTCGGGGCACCTGGAGTGCCTCAGGGGCCCTGAGCTGCGACCTTGACGGCCCCCAGCTTTCCACCTGAAACCCCGGGGCAGAGAAGAGAATGTGGTGTGGGTGGCTACTGGGCAACATGAGGCGGTCTTTTCCCTAGAAGGACATGCACAGGGCACGGTCCCGTGAGCTGGTTGTGGAGGTCATGTAAGGAACTGATGCTGCGGTCGGTCGCAGAGTCTGGGAAGGGCCAGGTTAACAAAGCAAAGCCAGCGGTGTGCCCGCGGGCCTTGTCAGGGCCTTGAACGCAGTCCCGGGCAGGGCAGCTGGAGCC